TTAGATAGGTTTGTATATGAGCCTCTTTAAAACCTTTAGTGTTGTAAATGGCAGAGAATGGAATACCCACTGCAAAAGATAAGAAAGCAATTGTTATTTCACCTCTTTACATCAGCTTTTTAGATACAACTCATAACACAGCAAAGAGAAGATTGATGTGAAAGTAACTGAAATGAATGATTAAACTGTAACAGCCCATTATGTGTTTTCTCAATCAGAGCTTCCACATGTTTAGCACCTCCCTTAAAATTAATGAAAAACCCCAATCATTAATTTATCCAGGTTGAGTATCCAAAATGCTTGGAACCAGAAATGTTTTGATTTTTTTTTCCAGATTTTGGAATATTTTCATATATCATCGTCATTGTCAGCAGCAGCATTTTGGGGATAGCAATCAGGTCTAAAATTCTTGTATGTTTTATCTATACACAAAGGCTGAAGTTAATTTTGTATGCAATAATTTTTAATAATTCTGTGCATGGCCCAAAGTTTGTATACAACAGAAAAGAAAAGATGTCACTATCTCAGCCACCCATGCGGACAATTTCTGATTTTGGAAATCCAGATAAGAGATGCTCAATTTGCATATCAATTCTCTAGTTTTTATTTTTTTAGATAGGAGTCCAATGATACATTCTCTTCTTGAAAAAAGTGGCAAAAGACTCACGGCTTGCATGCTATATTACAATCACAGATCCTTAACCTAGAATTGCAGTTCTGTAATTTCTCCATATTCACTAATACTATGCTGTCACAACTGAGGCAGTTACTATTGCCACAATTATAAATGTCTCCTCCAAACTTATTTTTCCAGGCAGCAGCCATATTGAAAAATGTCAATCAGTTCACCTGGTGATTGGGGTGCTAATGAGCAAGACTATGATAATCAGGAGTTTTTTTTATAATGTTTTGTCACAGCCTGGCTCACTGGTGGGGAAGTTGGTGGAAATGCCATCCTTCTGTGCCCTTATTGCAATAGATCTTCATCTCTTAGCATGGCTGCTGTCTGGTAAATTAGGTTTTGGGATATGTTACACATACATAACTAAGTAGACAATTGAGAATATGGGCCAGTGGGTTTATGATTGTGTTTGTTTATTTGATTGATTGATTTTTATCCCACCTTTCTCTTGACATTGAGAGTTAGGAGAAGGGGAAGACCAATATCTGCTCTTAACCAGTTATCATAACAGAAAGGTTTATTCCTCCATATTATGCCCAGTTTCAAATGCATCCATCCTTTAACTGGATGTGCCAAGTACACAATTTGGAACTATACGAGTGAAAGTCATTTACACATTGAGTGTAAATTTGCCTTCTTTCTTTTTTAACCCTCATGAATTGCAGTCCCTCAGGATCATATTTGGTTACCAAATCTATACACAACTAGACCTATAATGCAGACCTTTTGATAACACTGTCACCTGAAGAATTCTAAACAATTCTGATAAGTTGTTTCCCTAACTTTGCAGTAATCCTTCTCCCACCAGCAAAGGCTGAGTTATGTGTGTTAACTTTGTTAAAAAAGTAGACACACTCTAAAATATTTACTGCTACACAAATATGTTAATAAATCCAAAACTAAACTCTGTTTATCAAACAATTGGCGTTTAGGCTGCTTGCTTTGCTTTATTTATTTTGCTATTTTTGGTTAATTTCTCCCTCATAAATTCTTGGGAATTGTATGAGATATTCTTGGAAAATTAGGGAGCCTGGGAAGAAAGACAAAAACAAACAATATTTCATGTATGTTTGGCTATTTTGTGGTATAAACTCATAAAGTTCTAAGTTTGTGAACTGATGAAAAGGGAGATAAAATAATATAACCAGTAATACAGAGGAGAAGGACAGATGGAATAGGAATACATTTTGTATAAATTGTAGGGTTTTTTAAACTAACTAATTAGAAAAATTGTTATTTGGTGACAAGCACATTCCTGGGTTCTGCAGAGTTTATATCAGTGGTTTC